GTTTTTCTTAATAAGCTTATCCCAGAGTTCACTGCTGATTAATCATAATGGAGCAGCTGATCAGAATGCTAATTTTTCTGCAGCGTGTGGCTATTTGATTCATGTCAGTCCAAATGGAGCTTACAGTGAACAAATAGTTACTGTATTATTGGAAGTGAAATTTGGCCCAAGATAGTCTGGAAGTCATAAATTAAACTAAGTTATGAAATTTAAAGGCAAATTTTGCTTCATTGAGTAAAATTCCTCCCCTGTAATAAACTTATCGGTATTTTATACATGTGACCTGTACATACAGTTTGAGTTTATGCATCTTTCTCTTTTGCTTAGGGCCTGTTATGAAAGTCATTAGTGCCAACAAGCTTTGGATCCTGCACAGAACTCGCTTTAGCAAAGTCCTTACGCCATGCTTTATTTCAAGCATGTGAAAAGTCTTGTTAAGCACAAGTGCTTTGCTGGATAGGGACAGACTTCTTGACATGCTCAAATTAAAGCACTTGAATGAGAGCCGTAGTATGTCAGCCACACAATATTGGGGCGTATTGGAACGTTTCCCTGGGTTTTTTTTCTTTTTCTTTTTTTTTTTTTCCACTGAATTCACATACTCGGACGTACATGCATTTACGAGTATCGGAAACATGGAGCTATTGAAATACTCTTTCAGGTTTTGTTCATTTTTGTCTCCTTTCTCTAGTTCCACACTTTCCTTCTCTCCCCCTCCCGACCCCATTTTGGTGCTGAAAAAAGTGGGGGGATAGAAGGGAGTGTCGGGGTAGAAGGAGAAACAATGACCAATAAAGTGGAAATTGAAGACTCTTCAGATTTCTTATCAGAGGGGTAGCTGTGTTAGTCTGAATCTGCAAGAACAATGGGAAGTCCTGTGGCATCTTATAGACTAACAGATTTATTGGAGCATAAGCTTTCGTGGGCATCTGATGAAGTGGGTCTTTGCCCACGAAAGCTCATGCTCCAATAAATCTGTTAGTCTATAAGGTGCCACAGGACTTCCCATTGTTCTTTCAGATTTCTTGTTTGTCATCAAAATAATGAAGCAAAATCTGGGGGGAAACTATTTTTAAGGCTAGTTTCATTGCAAGGGAGAGCAGCAGTTTAAATAAAACACTTTGACTGGTCATATTAATCACTGTAAGAGATTCAGTGTTCCGGGTCACACTGACACAAGCCAAGCTGCTATAATTCAGGAATGCAATTCAGTCCCTTGAATATCAGTGGCATCCTGCAGACATGAATGGGACTAGAAATTGAGCCAGGGTAATTCTTAGGAGCGGAATCACATTTCTCCTCGGAAATGAATTTCTCACCCTTTGCCCTGGCAGGGATCCTGGCTTCTTTTCTCCTTCCTCAGAGGAACTGAATGATCCGGGAGGGGCAAGTCCGTGGTTCCAGTCCCTTTGAAGGAGGAACAATCTGTTAGGGGAGAGCAAGGGAAGCATACCTGTGCTCGAAGCAGGGAAGAGGCAGCTGCAGGCCTGTTCCTGATTCTGCTTCTGGCAAACTTCTTGTGACTGCAA